AAGGCGGTATATAAATACAAACTTACTTACTTACTTACTTACTTACAGCGTGCCCTAAAGCGTCTTTGAAGAGCTTCCAGCTCGTTCAGAATACAGCAGCTAGGATCTTAACAGGTACCAAAAGGAGGGAGCACATAACTCCGGTGTTAAAATCACTCCACTGGCTCCCTGTGGAGTACAGAATAAAGTTTAAAATCCTTCTCTTAACATATAAAGCCATAAATGGCTTGGCTCCTTCTTATCTCCAAGACACGTTGGTGTCGTATCAACCAAGTCGAGCGTTGCACAAAACGCCAGACGTCTGGTGGTCCCTAAGGTCTCAAAAATCACTGTTGGTGGCAGAGCATTTAGCTACCAAGCTCCTTTACTGTGAATCAGCTTCCCATTTATGTTAAGGAAGCAGATACGGTCTCCACATTTAAGGCCAGGCTTAAAGCACTTTACTTTAATTTAGCCTATAATTAGGTAATATATAACATGTGGTGTATATATTATATATATATATGCTGTATTATGTTATATATTATACAATAATGTATTGTGTTATGTTGTATATTATGTAATATATTATGCTGTATGTTATGTTGTGTATTAAATATGATATATATGGTATGTATGGTATATATGATGTATATGATATATAATATATAATTAGGTTTGCTTGGATCGGTTTGCACACCTGGTGTGCAATCCATGAATCTCTTTATTCAAGGCTAGGTTTAAAACAGTCCTCTTTAGTTTAGCATATGGTTAGGAAGGTAAGACTCAGGGAAGGCTAAACTCCTCAGAGTGTTAGTCAAGCTGCATAGGGAGTCAGTTTGCTGGGAGAAGTATGGTAACTTGAGCACTATCCTCTCCTCCTTCCTACTTTACCTGTTTAGCATTTTTAGGATTCTGACTGTAGTTTGTTCATTGCTATTCACCCGTTGTCCCATTGTCCGTTTCATGGTACGATGACGGGATCTCTGGACCTGGCCTCCTCCATCTACTCCTGCGGACTGCCCTGCCCGACCCGCCTGGGAGTGCTTCGGTCCTGCACCGGACCTGTCCACGTTCAGCGGCCACTGGTCCACGTCCTGTAGCTAGCTTAGGTCCTAGATCATTAGCCTGTCCGTCCGGAGGAGCGGATCCCTTTCTCATATGGGTCTCCCTCCCTGTGGGTTTCTCTAGTTCTCCCCAAGGTTTCTCACTTTTTCCCACTGGGTTTTTTAAGAGTTTTTCCTTGTCGATGCAGGAGGGTCTTGTTGTACAGTTAGTGTCCAACAGAAAGGATTGGTGATGATCAGGACACTTTAGCATTCTACAACATGTATGGACATTTTTTTCTGTGTGTGCTTTATATTTTTCATGTGTTTTAACTGTTGATTCTCTGACCTGTGTTGGTGATTTCAATGGTTTTGTTAAGTCCTCTGAGATTACTTCTGTCGTGACCTAGGGCTATACAAGTAAGTAATGTTTATTTATATACCGCCTTTCACAGACAGAGTCACAAAGCGGTTTACAATTCTTATTTTTGGGCACTTGTCCTCTCACTCCACACAGAGATTTTGGTTTGGTTTGGTTTGGTTTTAGTGGTAGGGGGAACCGGAGTACCCGGAGGAAACCTACGCAGACACGGGGAGAACATGCAAACTCCACTCAGAAAGGCCCTGGTCCGACCGGGATTCGAACCCAGAACCTTCTTGCTAAGAGGCGAGAGTGCTATCCACTCAGCCACCGTGCCGCAATACAATACAAGAATAAATTGTATTGTATTGTATTGTGTAATTTACACGATGAGTTCAGAGCGATTAGCCTAATGATTATTATCTATATAAAGCCTTGGTTTCCAAATGTTCTGTTTTCTATTGACATGGCTTGAACCATTGAATGGTCACACTATCTTTCACAATGTTTGTACATTTATTTATACCTTTGAAGTAAGATAGAAAGAGTTTATGCTAACTCTGCATAACAACCATGAATACTGCTAGTCTATTGTGAGGAGATACAGAGCAACTCACAATTGGCTATGGAAATTGAGATTGACTTAATATTAGGTATTAATTAGAGATTGTAAATATTCATGGATATCTCTGCTGTTGAATCGAATGTGGCATCACTTTTACCTTTGCATTTGTAAATCTTGTAAATATATCCGAATGGCCATTCTTATGCACAAACTGTTTGCCTCTCACGTCTCTCTCCTAGAGCCATGCTATATTGTGATGGGGTCTAAAGCCAAACCATATCCAACATCTAATAAATCATTATACTTATATTATATCAGTGCCATGTATTCATGCAGCAACTAATCATCCAAACTTAATTCAACATCTTCCCCCCAGGGGGTTAAGATTGTTATCCATTATCAGACTGATCAAACACCCTGTATAGTGATAACACTGGCCCCAGATGGAGCCACTCTGGACAGTGTTGGTGTGCTCTTATCACTCAAATGAAGGTTACTTTGAGAAATGTCTTTAATACAACCTGATCTAACAAGTAGTAGTATTTATTGAAGCTCTAATGTCTCCTAAACTTCTTCATGGTTCCATTTTCAGTATTATCACAGTTATTAATGACTATTCACTCACTGATGACTCAAGCTCATAATGCACTTATGCTTAATGTCCAGCAGGTGGCACCAAAGGGCTACTATTTTTCAACTGAGCAGACGTAAATTATACTTGAAAATGACTTTTCTGCAACAGTTATACATTGCTTTAGTGTGCATATCTCACTCATATGGCGACATAAAGGTGTTGGCTATTCCCACAGTACGCACTGTGCACAATTACTGTAGTCACTTTTGCAGCCTGAGATTGTGATTGACGTGCAGGTTCAATTTTCAATTCAATTTATTTTTGTATAGCCCTAAATCACAACAGCAGTTATCTTGGAGGATTTCACCAAGCCGTCGACTCGCCAACACAAATCAGAGAGTCAAACAGTTGATACACAGGAAATGCAATGAAAAATTGAGCCATTGGTCTATAAGTGGCAGATGACCACTGTCCATAAATGTTGAATGGCAACAGGGAGAAACTCTAAAAACCCTGTGGGAGAAAAGTGTTATTGTGTGTTTATGATTTCAATATCTAAACTTACAAATTTGATTTAATGATAAGTCCTGTAGCAAGTTCACAAAAGGTTCCACAGAACCACATTAGATGACACAGAAAACAAAGGCGATGCAGTAGCGCAAAAACTTTAGGCTTTGAAACCCAGCCTACCCTAGCTGTATATTTAAGGCGTTACACTTGAACCAAGACCTCCCATTTCAGCTAAAGAAGTCCACAATAAATTCAGTCATTAAACAGTTAGCACAAAGAAACGTATAATTAGCACTTCTGTTTGCACAAAATCAAATAGCACACTCTCTGTACACAAGTCAAATGTAAATGATTAAATATTTTTCCTATTTTATTAATTAAAGTCTTTAATTAATGTTTATTGTACAAACATTGTGACTCATTTGACAGAAACATCAATTAAATGTTCTCGATATTCCTATAAAAATTATTACTACAAAGAAATGCAAATTCAGATCTACAGGATTATCCACAAACAAATATATTCTAGATTAGACCCAAGACAGTTGTGTGCTGCAATTAAAATAGCCAAAAACTAGATTCAGGAGGTATACAATGAGGTAAAGCTTGTATATTTGGACTACTTGTATATTTGACTCAGGATCAGTTAAGACTCGTGTTCGTTTTTACTATTATTAATATGTATTGTGATAGTTTCCTTGTTAGTCTCAGATTTAATTTTTTTTTTTTTTATTGTATGTTTTTAGTATCCCAGTGTTTCCTCTGGAGGAGCCATCTGCACTGGGAGCAGTGGTCGGCTGTGGGGGTCCGGCTCTTGGACCTGGTGGGGGCCTGGAGCCACGGCTTCATGTCTCCTCTGGGTCCTGTGTCGTCCCTTGTGGCCACGGGCGGCTCTCTGCTCCTGATGCAGACGGCTCCTTGTATGGCGCTTCTTCAGCTGGTTACATCCGCACCCTGCAAAGTCTCTCTTCGTGTGTGCATCAGTGGGGGCGGGTCCCGGTTTAAAAGTGGCCAAAATGACGGGCGCTGACATGCTTGCAATACCACACCGAGCCAGAGGGCTGGACCCGGAATAAGAATTATTTAATGCAAATGTACGGATCTTCTGACCTCTTGAAAACGTCTTTACAGGATGGTCCAAAAGTCGGCTCTTGGCCCAAAGCTCCGTTCCACATGTGTGTCAATGCTGAGGGGGGTGAATTCTTTTGGACAAGCCTAGTTTACTCACTGTGAATTTTTGACACTTGTTTAAATGACTGGAGCTTGCGCCGGCTGACGCATGCGCAGATGCGTTTTTTCACAATTTCCAGCCCCCGCGTCCATTTTGAATCACTCCATGAAAGCCCAATTTTTGGCCCATTAGTCAGAACGGCGGAGATAGGCGTGACTACGTCCGTTAATGTATACAGTCTATGGTGTGCTTGTGCATGTGAGCGTTCTCTTAATAATATATGTTTGTCTGTTGGGCGGTTGGAAGGAGGGGTCATGGGCATTGTATGAAAAGCGCTTTATAAATAACATTTGACGGTGTTCCCAAAACCTTTCTGAGCTGCGGCACACACAAAAAATCTTACAGCATACCACCAGCTTAAACTATCGCAAAAATGAAACCAAAGCCTTTAACAATAATCTGTACTTTTATGTAATTGTGTGTAATCTTTGCTGCCTTTTATCCAGGACTCCCTTGGAAAATGGGTTCTTAATCTCAATGGGACTTTGGTTAAATCAAAAAATAACAAAACAATCAGAGTGTACTATATAGAAAATCAAACAAGGGCAAAAAGTCGTTCAAAAAGTATACTCACATTATTTTGGCCTTTTAGATGGTAATGATCCATTATCATCTAAGGCATACAAAAAAAACAAGTTATGATTGGCATGGTTCATTATGGGGAGATTTACTTCCTGTTGGTCCACTGCAACTCAGCAATAAAGTGAGTAAAAATGGCTTGGGTGAACTGTCCGTTAATTCCCTGTGGGTTGAGTTTTGGGCCTTCTCTGATTGCGCAGCAGAATCTTCACGTGTTTGTAGATCTCCGCCACTTTGAGGCCGTACACCACCGGGTTGAAGCCCGAGGGCACGATCACCACGACAACGGACATGGTCACCACCGTCGTACCGCCCATCATCAAGCGCCTGTGCAAAAACTCGAACGATGCGGTGAGTGAGTAATTGAAGAAAACCAACATGTGTGGCAGGAACGTATTGAGAGCCTTACCGCTGAACTTGCGAGACCGCCACAGGCAAACCAGCAAAACTCTACAGTATGAGAAAAGCACAAAGCTCACGGGTATGTAGATAGTTACCGTGGCGCCGAAGAGCCCGTACGCATTACTAATTTGTGTTGTGGTGCCGCCGCAGCTCATGCTAACAAAAATATAGGTGTCGCAGTACATTCTGGTGATGCGCAAGTAGCAGACCGGTAGGTGACTGGCCAAAATTATCGCACCAACAACTCTACAGGTGGGAAACAACCAGCACAGAGCTAGCAGAGTGGCTACGACTTTGGGAGACATCAACGCCGGATAGCGCAAAGGGTGGCATATAGACAAGTAGCGGTCGGTCGCCATGGCCGCCAAGAGCATGAAGCTGGAACTGGCGAGCGAGCTGATGACGAAAGCCTGACACAGACAAGCAGTACGGGAGAGCAGAACCACGCGCTGGCCTTGAACCAAGTCCCACAAGAGCTTGGGGTAGATGGCGGTGCTGCAGAGGGAGGAGTTGATGAGGACAGCGACCACGAAGACGTACATGGGCCAGTGAAGGCTGCGGCGCGAGCAGACGATGTAGACCACCATGCCGTCGCTGAGCATCACGAAGGCGTAGAGGAGCAGGAGGAGCACGGCCAGAAGGATCCTGTGGTCGTACAGCTGTGACAGGCCGTCCAGGTGAACAGTGCTGTCCGATGAAATGTTCATGTTCATGTTTGACCAGAAATACAAAATGACTGCGATGAGAAAATGTCTGACAAATTACTTTTAGAACATCTCATACATTTAGCATAAAACAGAAATAGGTAGAATCTTAATTAGCCAACTATTGACCAATTGTTATGTATTATGTTGATAATTATCAACTAAACATGAGCAGTAAACAAGTGGAGAAAAAACAACATAAAACATAGATTGATTATTTGGCTGATGACTGAAACCACAATAATTTACAAAGTTTATGGTCAAAATTAGTCACAAAATGTTCATGCTTGTCCGTAGTTCCTAAATACGTATCAAATATGCAAAAATGTCTGTATGAATGAGTATAGGCCGAGGCCACAGTGGTTATGGTAACAAACTTTTCTAGACAATGAACCATAAGTTGTTCAACACGAAACACAATAAAAGTATTTCTTTACAACAACAACAAAAACGCAAGTTTTCCAGATTGAAATTATTGACAAAAAAAGGTCCACTTTTGCTCAGCCAATCACCTTGATAACAAGAACATAGTTTTTACTTTTAAAAAAAGTTAAATGCAAAGCTCTGGAAATGTTTGACATTTAAAAAAGTGAGTAAAAATGGCACAGTGAAAAGTGCAACCAGATATGTGAGAAGTACCTAATACAAGATGCAAAAGAGAAATGTAATGCATTTGGTGAAGCATAACCACCAAAGCAACAAGTCGCCCCACAGGTTTAGATCAATAGCAAACAAGATCCTATGTCGTTTGGAAGACAGCTCAAATAAGAAGTAAAAACATTGTACAGGGATGTAACTATGACTTAAAAGTGCTTCAAATTTAAAAGTTGATACTTTTGTCTTTGTGCAGAAACTTTTGTTTAATAAAATGTACTACATAAAGTTTGTTGGATTGGATTGATGCAAATAGTCAAGTCTATAGTAATAGTGTAAAATAGTAGTAGACATTATTCATTGGATGTGTGTGTCATTTAGAGAGACACTAAATTATGCACAATGACATGAGGTTTAAAAAGAAACAGACTGAGCAAGACACTCACATGAATGTGAAATATTTCCTCCAGTAAGGGTTCACTGTTATATTTATTTATTTCTATATTTTACTGAATAGCATACCGCGGTACATAAACATGAAATCACTGTTACTACAGTGAATGTAACCAATCCACCACCACTTCACCCTAAAAGGACACGACAAGAGTGTTCATTAAAAGACAGTATTTCCAGCCAAACAATGATTTTCTAATCCTTTTTTCCTGGGGTGCTCCTTTTACGGAACAATAGCAGAAGACTCAAATCTGAGCTTTAAAACAACGATCTCGTTTGGACTCCTTCCTATGTGAGAGCTATTCAGTAAGATATTTTGCAATTTCCAAATTTGTTGCAAAATTTTATATATTTTTTTTTAAAGAAACCCAGCAACAGGTATATAAGAGGAATTCCCCAAATGTTAAGTAGTTCCAGAGGTGTTAATGGTTAGCTAATTATGTAGTTAAATATCAACTAGACATGGGCTGTAAACAAGTGGAGAAAAAACAACAACCAACTTAAGAAAAAAATACATAGATTTTTCAGCTGATTGAAACCACAATCTCACAAACCTATATCAAAGGTTTCTCCCTGTATTGTCAAATTAATTGGAGAAAGTAACAATTGAAACCACTACTACAAATGATTACACAAAACATTGGACCCCAACTTTGCAAAAAGAAACGCGTACACCAAAACAGCTATGATAAAGTAATGATAAATCTAGTGTTAAAATGCAGAATTCGCACTAAAATATATACAAAAAATACAGAGACTGAGACAAAACAAAAAAAAAGTCTGATGAGACACTTTAGTGACTATAGAGGTCGTGTGGGGAGAGGAGCGAGGGCAGAGTGTGCAGTGCGTAGATAGCGACGCACACGTGGGACAGCGCCTCCAGCAGCAGCAGCTTCTCCTCAAACAAACGCAACGCAGAGTGGAGCAGGCGCACACACGTCCTGCTCAACATGCTGCAGCAACACTCACGCACACATACGCACACCTACTGTACTTTATACCTACACCTGTGCGCACAATGCACACAGCTACACACATCTGACCCAACACTGCGGCCTCTGCCTTTTATCACCGAGTTCGCACAGGGAGGATCTCTGAGGCCTCGTGAGACAAACAAACATGTTTACTTTTACACTTGTTCATGGAGGTCTTTGACAATATGTTTGAACTTTTGTGAGTTTTTTTTTATAGAGTTTAATAAAACGTAATGAGCTGCAGAATCTCTGTTGTTGTTTAAATGCCACATACAATGGTAAAATAAATACAAAGGGTAGTCAGGGCAACAAGGTCAATAGTTTAGATCAGGGCTCTCAAGTATTTTGTATTAATGTCGGTACCTCCACTATTTGTCGAGTGTCTTTCCTTCACAAGGCAACAAGGTTTATGATTTTCCTACACAAATCATAAACATTAAAATATGCAATTAAAATCCCACAGGGCATTAAAACACAATGGCCCTCAGTTATGAAACTTGCATAAAATTCACACTTTTTGGCATATATCTATCTGGACGTGAGCGTATGCATAAAATATAGCCAAATCTGGAGGTGGTGTAAATTCTACACCCATCTGAAACTTCATCACAACACGCCAAAACAAACATGAAATTCAAGATTTGGACAACAATAAACATATTCCCACTCTGGCAAAATATACGCGTTTTCATCGAGCATCACATTTCAAAATTTGAATTTGCGCATCAGAAAAAGTCTAATGGAAACACGCAAACTTCGATGAAATCACAGTTCATGATGAGGACCCTCTTCTGTTTCTTCTTTTTTTTTCTTTTTATGTGTATTATTTTCATCTGTATCTTTTTTTAATGTGAAGCGCTTTGTGATCTTGGTCTGTGAAAGACGCTCTACGAAAACACTTGACTTACTTACTAACTTACTTAATGTTTGACCATTCTATTGGTCTATAAATCTGTGGCAGGCCCGGCGCTGCGTACTTACACATGGCTATTTGTTTTGCCTCATTCACCTCTGGCAAAGCAATATGTTTTTTCATTAGTATTGTGCATAAAACCGATGGTCGTGCTCACTCAAAACTGTGTCAGCCACTGCCCCGTACTTATCTGTGGGAACGGGCTCGCGGGCAGTGGCTCTTTGGGAAGTGCCACGACAGGTCTCACCGCAAAACTCCTCAAATGTGGTGCGCCTCATTCAGATGTTTTGGTTCCTGTGTGAAATCATGGACACTTCCCAAAAGCTTCTCATACGCATCTTTCTTTCTCATAGAGATTGCTCCATTGCATTCACAGGAAAATGAGGACACTTCACGATGAGAGCCACAGCTGAGGCTGAGATATCAACATTCATTCATTCACTTCTAATGTTAAAGAGAGATGAGAGCTGCAGCGGGTCTGGACCATAGACTGTATATATTAATGGACAGCGTCACGCCTATCTCTGCCGTTCTAACTAATGGGCCAAAAAATGTGCTCTACTGGAGCAATCCAAAATGGCCACGAGTGGTCCCGCCAATTGTGAAAAAACGCATCTGCGCATGCGTCAGCCGGGGCAGCTCCATTCATTTGAACGAGAGACTTCAAAAATTCACAGCGAGTAAACTAGAGTGGTCCAAAAGAATCCATCCCCCTCAGCATTGACACACATGTGGAACGGAGCTTTGGGCCAAGAGACAACTTTTGGTCCATCCTGTAAAGACGTTTTTGAGAGGTCTGCCAATGCTATATGTTAGCATTGGCTAATTCTTCTTCTGGGTCCACCCCCATCGGCCCGGGGTGGTATTGCAAGCATGTCAGTGCACGTCATTTTGGCCACTTTTGAGCTGGGACCAGCCCCCACTGGTCTGGACACAAGGAGAAAAAACGCATATATATAATATAGCATATATTTCTTTTTAAACAAAATAATAAAATAAAACTCAATATAAACTTCGGAGTGCGTGTCACTCACAGGCCTTTAAGGCATCCAAATAGTCTTGCTGGCCAACTTCCATGCTGACGTGTCGTAAAAACAGGGCGTGAAACAGGCGGTTTCTGGACATTTCTAGGCGTGACTTTCATTAATGCGCTAGTTTTCAGTGCACCATTTATTATCAGCCGCGGCTGCATACGCTCGAATCTGGGCGGATCTCACACGTTCATAAATCCCACGTTGGATCTTGCGTATTTGGAATGTACACCAAAATTTACACAATTTTCTGCGCAAGTTTAATAAATGAAGGCCAATAAGAGCACAAGAAATTTTAGATACATAAAAAATAAAATAATACAGTAATAAAGATGTAATGAATAATAAAGTAATTAAAAACCTAAACATTAAAAGGGCTCATGGGATTAAACTCATAAATAGCCACAGTGCACTAAAAAGAGTAAAGAAACCTAGATTTGAAAACTGCCAGAGTAGACACCTGTCTAACATTCTCAGGATGACTATTCCAGATTTTAGCTGTATAAGTCTGAAACGCTGCCTCCCCATGTTTAGTTCTGACTCTGGGCACTTGCGGGAGACTAATCCTCAGTCCGGTACTGTTCATATGGGACTAACATGTCACTTGTGTACTTTGGTGTGAGGCCATGGAGAGACCTGTACACAAGCAGAGCTGTTTTAAAGTCTATTCTCTGAGCCACAGGAAGCCAGTGTAGAGACCTGAGAACTGGACTAATATGGTCGTACTTCCTGGTTCTAGTCAGGACTCGAGCTGCTGCATTTTGAATGTACTGCAGCTGTTTTACAGCCTGTTTGGAGAGACCTGTGAGCAGGCCATTGCAGTAGTCTAACCTACTGGAGACAAATGCATGGATAAGAATCTCCAGGTCTGCTTTAGACACTATGTTTTTGATCCTGGCAATGTTTTTTATATGGTAAAAAGCTGCTGATGTTACTGATTTGATGTCCATTATTGCGCCTTGATTTCTGACCTTGTTTGAAGATTTTAGGGAGAGAAACTGTAGGTGACAGATGACGCTCTCTCTTTGTTTCTGAGGACCAAATACAATCATTTCAGTTTGGTCTGCTTTTAGCTGAAGGAAGTTGTTTTGCATCCACTCACTGATCTGTTGGATACAGTGAAGGAGTGAGTCCACTGGTACATGTTCTCCTGCAGTCAGTGAGACATAGATCTGAGTGTCGTCTGCATAATTGTGATAGGAGACGTTATTCCTGCGTATTAACTGACCCATTGGCAGCATGTAAATATTGAATAGAAGAGGTTCCAGGGTTGACCCCTGTGGCACTCCTCATTCCTGGAACATAATCAAGAGTCATTGATTTAAAAAAAAAAAATCAGTAAGTTGCTGAAAGGCAACTTTTTCAGGTATTTCTTCCATGAAAGGGACATTTGAAATGGGACGGTAATTTTTAAGTATCGTGGCATCCAGATTCCTCTTTTAGGACAGGCCTTATGACTGCCGTTTTCAGGGCCATTGGGAATGTTCCAGATTCAAAAGACATGTTTACTATTTGCGTTAATGAAGGTAAAAGACTGCTCGGAATAGACTTAAGAAATCTAGGGGTAATACATCCAGGCTACATGTGGAGGAACTCAGACTAGAGATTATCTCTTGGACAGCTTCATTATATACAGGTGTAAAGTGCGTCAGCTCAAAAAGCCTCACTGCTGTTGGATTGTTGTGGAGGTGATAGTTTTTTTTGATGCCTTAAACTTTGTCATTAGAAAACTGTGCAAATTCATTTCATTTAGATTTTGAGGTAAGTTCTGATGGCATCTTTACAGAAGGATTCGTTTATCTATTAATTGTTGAAAACAGAATGCGTAGATGGTTATTACAGCCTTCAATGGTTTCAGGAAAATAAGTTTCGACCCTGTAAAACTGGTTCTTCGCAGGCCGCGGGCTCGTTATTCAGAGCGGGGCGCTTAGGCGTAGGACAAGAGGGTCCAGACCCGAGTCCCGACCGACCTCTCCCACACAACAGTGTCACAGTGTGCTGCGCTCAGTAACGCAAGTCGTGAATGTTGCCCACCAGTGACTTTGAAAAGTTGACACAAATGATTGTTTATCCTGCTGCAGATCTTCGGTGGGACGAAGGACTTCTTTACGGGGATCTGCAATAGTGACACGCTCCCTCTCAGAAAGCTCCGATGTCAGGCCACTCATTTTGTTCGTGGTTATTGCAGTGTCACTTTCCATGTCTGTGTAGTTTAAAAACAGTCTCGTGTCCTGGTAGCTTCTGAGCTAATGGGTCTTTGTGTTAAACTCTGAGACCATTACATTTAAAGATGCAGTTAGCAATGTTGTTAGCTTAGCCGTGGCACCAACTCGAAAGCACTCCCCCCTCCCCTCGCCTCTCCACCAAACCAAAACATCCAGCATTTTCTTTTCTGTGTCACAACAGGGAGAGTGGGTGGCAAACATGAAATTGGCATTTTATGTTCAGCCCTTTTAGGTTTTAGAAAATAATCCGATAACTCAGCTGCGCACACTCACGAGAAACAGGAAGAGGGTAAAGGGGGTAAACGCATCCCATTGGTTCGTTGGGGATGAACGAATCCCATTGGTTTATTTTTATCGGTCCGCTCCAAAATATTTATTACTAATTTTTGGAGACTATAAACATCTGATCAATTCCATTACTATTTGAAAACACATGATAACTTGACTACCTTTAGGATTTACGAACGTTTTCCCCACAATATTTTAAAAAATACATCTGGGAAAAATCACTGACTGCATCTTTAAACATTAAAATACTAAAAAGATAAAACACCAAAAACCAGACAGATATACAGTAACTAATGTGTTTAAAAAGCTTTTAAAAAGGTACACAGAGCAGAGACTTAAATACGCCTAACAAGCTCATCAAGTCAAGATCTTTGCTTCATAAAGTAGATAGATATTTATTGTTCTAGAGGTTCCGAGCTTTAAAACGAGGTATAACATGTCTATTTTGGTGGAGCTGAAGTTGGCTGGATGATACTACAAACTTGTGTTTACGATCTTGGTTGGTGTGCGGGCCTTAGCTATACAGCATACAGGGGAGAATTAACGTATACATTTTACACACAGTAGACGATAAACAATAACATTCATTTTGGAGTCAACTTTTTAGAGTGAATCGTAATTAGCTTTTAAAAATTCATTGTGGTGATTACTGATCCGAGAGAAAATAAAGAGTAAGAAAATAGTCACAAAATAAGCGATATATTGTTTCTGT